CTCTGGCTTCCTCCACCACCAAAACCTGGCACGTCCTTAAATGACCATAGCTGTTAATAAGACATAAAACACAAACAAACCAAAGTGGTTTTTCTCCAGGAACTCTGGCTTCCTCCACCACCAAAACCTGGCACGTCCTTAAATGACCATAGCTGTTAATAAGACATAAAACACAAACAAACCAAACCAAACTGTTATAAATACTAATTTAAGAAAAGATTTCTGTAATAAATACAGTAATTAATTATCTAATAGTGTAAATAAAGATATATTTCTTAGACAACTACGGTAGTTAAGTGTGAGGATACCAATAGAATGGTCTGGCCGGTATTAATATTGATTGAGAGCTGGCCATGTCTAGTGGGGAGACAGGCTGCTGTGCCCTGTATAGGTGTATAGGACTCTATTTAAGCGTTCTGTGAGGCAAAGCTATTAAGCACTGCCAGTAACCTTGGCCACCTTTCGCCTCTGAAACCACTTTCAATTTAAGTTCTTTACTAGTGCATGTGGAACTTGCTGAAAACTCTGAAGCATTTTTGGTGTCTGGCATTATACAGGTAGTCTTGAGAAATGGAACACTCCATGGTTATTTTTTGGGCAGTCTGATTCGGTGCTGATTTGTTAACTGAACAGTATGCATACAAAGTACATTTAAATGTAATTAATTTTAAGTAAAGAAAATAATTTCGAGTCTTTTAAACGGTTTCTAGAAGAAGAAAAACAATCTTTTGATAGGGGGAGTAAAAATCCCAGTGAAATATATGGAGAAAAAACCCTGTGAAGTCGCCCAGATTTATCATAACAATCTTATTCAAAATGATTGAATTTGAAGAAAAAAGTGGAAAGTGGCCCACCATGTCATGTCAACTTTGCTGGAAACTCATGCAATGTTTTTGAAACAACATTAATCAAAATGTTAGTCATGTGTTGGTTGTTGCTATCTCACTGTATATGGTACAAAATACAGAATGAATGTTAAAAAGGTCACTATAGTTGTCATGTAGCTATATCTATGGTAACCATTTTAGTATCTAATATTCTATGATGATTTGATACCTGGAACTGAAAGAGACTTAGTTTTTTGTCACCAAATTAACCTCATAACATTGAGTTGATGATTTTTATGATAACGGGAATGCCTAATGTCATGTTGTCATGGTAACGGCTTAATTTGTGTACAGGTTATTTTACAAGACATGGCAGACTGCAGCATTATGAGATAGGGCCTCAGACTGCAGCATTATCAGATAGCTAGGCCCCAGAGAGCTGTTGATGTAGCGACCCACGCAGTAAGATGGAAGGAAATTGTATCGTAAATACTGTGTGGAAATTCTATTTGTGGGGATCATGAACGTTTTACTGGTTCAAAGTGAGGTTACATGTATATAACAGCAGAAAATTCAAAATGACACACATCCTTGTTGCCAAGCGTGACATATGTACTATATGTAATTCAGTACTATGTAAAACTTACATAGTACTAAATGAAATCTGCTGAGCAACTAACTTTTCAAGTTCATTAACACATCATTTTCAGCTATTCCGTCTTTGCGTATTGCAGAGTTATCCTTTCTTGTGAGCAGGTATTGATTGTTACGTCTTTGGTTTGTGTGAGAAAATTACATCGTTTTCTCAAAAATTGATGACGTTACTCTCACAAACCAATGACGAAACAATCAACACCCGCTCACAAGAGCAGACAACTCTGCAATACGAAAAGACGGAATAACTCCCCATGACTCGTATTGTATGATGAACCACACTTAGTCTAATTTTATTTAAAATTCTAAGATTTTACCTGTTATGTTGCTGGATAACAATTTTGTCATGCGTACTCTGTTAATGAAAACTGAGTAAATAAAGTAAAAATAAAATATAACCCAGGGTCCCGGGGCTAAGGACACTTAATTTTGTGTAAATAAGGTGCACATATTACCCTTTAGAGGGAGTTACAGTAACAATTTAAGCCCTTAATTCAGGGTTCGACACTAACACTAGTCCGCTAGTCCTGGACTGGTAGATTTCAGCAATGACTAGTGAATCACCTAGCCTAACTGGTCCTTTGGATATCGCTTTTTAAATTTTAGAAAACTGCTTAAAATAAGATACATTGCATATTAATTGTCAAAATTTTCCTAAAACTTCACCATATTTCATGGCAGTAGTTATAAGGTCCCCTACAGTCGATTACTTTTGATGTTTCGTGCTGTAAGATCGCGATGCTTCCTTATCAGGAAATCTTGGACTAGTTACATTGGCGAAGGACTAGTAAATAATCTATTCAACTAGTCCTGTGGACTACCAAGCAAAAAAAGTTAGTGTCTAACCCTGCTTATAGTACAGTAGAAATGGGACAGAGACTCATAACAATTTTAGTGTCAATAAACATTTTTAGAACTGTTTCTATGGGCAATAATTCATTTAATTAGGTGCCCACATTGGTTCGTTAAGGTAAAGCTGCTCTTGATAGTAAATTGAACATTATGAAAAAGGGTATTGTTACATTAAATATAAATATACCTTAATACATGTGTACATATATAGTAGTTAATGGCTTCGATCATTACAGTGCCAGTGTGTAAAGAATCCATTAAATTCATTTCATGCGACCACACATTCTTTTTTTATCGTCAAACATAAGTCATTAACAGAAAGATATTCGTGTTGACTTCCAGGAATAGATTATAATCCCATGTAACGATACACATTGAGGCGGTGATGAATGGTACCTCAGGCTCGGAGACACAAAAGCCTTGGGTCTCGGAGCGACACGACGGTCAACCTCTCTAATAGTAAAAACACAGCCCACACACTCGATTTGCTAAATTACTGACACCATCAGGACATGAGCTTCGTCTATCAAAGCGTCTGTGTCAGTCTAGGGTCTCGTTTGGTCGTGTACGTATGTTGTGTCTGGTCCGATCGGTAGAGAAGATGAGATGTGGCGGCAGAAGTTAGGTACGTTTAGTCTGTGCTGATTAAGTTTGTAACTCTCCTTGAAACCTGAAGATTAGTCTGAACTCGGTTGATATAAAAATTGTATAATTACTTTATGTGCACCACTGCTTTCCTGCAGATGCATGTTAATTGGAACTGAACTGGTGTGTAATAAGTTCTGATTAACTATTTCTGGAATTTTTGATTTTCTCTGGAAAATTTCCTAAGTTTCAAATTCATCATCAGAAGAGATGAGAAACAGAAATGTAAAATTTTAATCAAGTGCCTGAAATAACGTGTAGTAGATCGATACTTCTAAATCTGTACCTGGATATTCTCGAAATATTAATTCTCTGGAAATTGTTTAACCGAGACACATTGATTAAGGAGCTGAATTAGTGCTCCAACAGTTGTAGTCATTCATCTGGAAACCTTGTTTTTTGTCTCGCCGCCACAAAGTAGCAGAAGTGAGACTTAAATCTGTTGCTTTTCCGGCGATGGAGGCGTCAACATCAAGTTTCACAAAAAGTGTAAGTGCTAGACCAACCAAACTTGGACCATAGATGCATCTTAGGTAGTACATCTCAACCCATGCATCAAATGCTGGACGCGGCCTACCTTTCATGGTCCATTGACTTTGTCAGCATCTCCATCAACATCAGGTTTTTGCGTTTAAGTTACTTTCTCTGAAACTATAAGTGCTATACCAACCAAACTTGACATGTGCATTGATGGTCAAAGCAGGGCACAGGCGAGACATATCAATCCGAATGGCTTGTTGTGGATTCCATCTGGTAGTAAATAACATTTACCAGGAATATTCATTTATACAGATACTTTTGGGTGCCTGTTTAGGGATGCTGGGATTTAGCTGTAGTATCAATATGTTCAAAAATGTTACAGAAATTTATCCGTAGTTCTGATAAATGGATGTAATATTTGATTATCCTGAGGAAGTGTGAACTGGATGTCATTTTGATTACGAATTGATTTTATCAGTCGATCCTGAGAACATGTTTTTCCAGCAAAACTTCTGGATGTTAGCTGTGTAACAATGGTGTATGGACGACATGCTCAAATTAGTCGCTCATAAATAAGGCCAAGAAATACTGTAGATTTGGTTACAGGATAGTGGATGGTGTACGTGATGAACATCTCGCGTGGCTTATTTAAGTTTTAAAAATCTGAGTGATTTACTAAGATTGAGAGATGTCTTAATTCAATTTAAGTCATGTTCAAACAAAATGCTATAATCAATTTAGAAATTCTCTTTCTGACATTTTGAATTAGAATTTCATTTTTATCACGATAATTGTTAAGAACAGTTTTGTCACACATATCAGTTTAACAGAGTGTGTGTTTGACATCAACACTTGACAATCTCAATGGATGCTCACTTTGATGCTTTTGATGCATTTCTTCCTTCCCATCGCAGACAGTTCTGTTGTACATTAACGTTCTGGTATGAACAATTGCTTTTTTTCATACACCATTTTAACTCATTCACCCCTGAAATTTCATAATGAACTAGTCCAACTTTTGAATGGAAGAGTTCAAATGTGTCTTCAGGGGTGAATGAGTAAATCTTCATCTGTAATTCAGTGAAACCAGCTGCCTACAAAGGCCACCTGGGTGCACTGGGCAAGAAAAATCTCCGGGAAGTTTTTGTGATTGTAAAAGAAAAGTCGCTGTTCTTATATCGCTAAAGACATGGATTATTAAATAAAAAGAAAAATCATTTTAAAAGTGATTTATTTAGTCTCTACGGTGGAGATACTATATACCAGGAATGTTTGCTGCAGTTTATTTCTCGCCTCCATCATTAGGGCGAATTTAGCATTACAGTGCATCGATATTAGTAACAGGGATCAATCTAGGTTATAGGGGAAATTACCATTTTCAGATTTGGGGGAAATTAAAATTTTGATACATAGCTTTATCTGATACATGTAATAGCAAAAAATGCAAACCACACAAAAATTAGAAGTTTTCCATTTTCGATTTTTTAATAAAAAATATTTCCTGCAAATAATATAACACTGTTGTTTTGAATGTAATTATAGGTTAGTATGTGAGATGTACCCATTCCAGTGACCAGTATGTCGGGCGAGAACCCTGGGGGTCGGAATTCGACGCAGGAGAACTCACCAGTGGTGGTGCGGAAGAAAGCCTCGACTGCGGAGGACAAGCGTAAACATTTCCGGCACAGTGACAGCGACAGTGACTCGGTGAGAATAAACACGATCTCATATACAAAATTTTGTAAATAATAAAATCAACTAAAGCCCTCAACCCACCTGTGAAGTCTTTGAAAAGTAAAAACTGTTGATATTATGCAACTGAAGCACCTTAGTTTCACATTTATACAAATATGTTCCTAAACTTAAATATTCTTAAGTTTTTTTCCTGAACTCCAATAATACTCTCCTTAATGGAGAGCTTAAGTTGAGGACATTTTTCTTAACTTTAGCAGGCCTCGAATTTAACATTTTATGTCACTTGCTTAAAAAAGCAAGTGCCTAAAATTTTTACTTGTTAAAATATTTTTTTACTTACTATTTAACTTTAACTACAGTTGAACTTGCTTATTATGATATTCTATTTGCCAAAGAAAAATATTATAATAACTGTTTTATTATAAACGATCATCAGATATAGGTAGATAGATGTGGGAACATTTGGAAATATGAATACAAATTGATATTGTGATAAATGAAATAAATTGATAGCTGTAATTTCTATCATTGTGTTTGGAAAATTTGAGAAAAATTACATTTTTGACATCGTAATGATCGGTATGTAAATTCTACTTTCACTTTCAAATGACTTTGAGCAATTCTTAAGAACTATCATTATACTACATCCTAGCTAAGGATACTGTAATATAACAGTCAATAGTATGTAGGGATGTCGCATGCACGGTTAACCTAAATAATGGTTAACCGCGGTTCAAAAGACCACGGTTCAGTTCGGTTCATAATTTCCGTATTTCGGTTCGGTTCTGTATAAGTTGGTCGTAGTTGTTTGGTAACAGCAAAGGCGTGTATTATTTGTGTCTCTCGATCGATACACGCCTCTGACTCTGGGTAAATGGAGAGATGCTCCGAATGGCAGATGTGACGGCCATTTTGGTGTTTCACATGTTACAACGATCACAGGCTAGACATGCAAAACATAAATAACAACTGCATTTTCCACGAGCAACACTTAATTGATTTTTTATGGAATTGATCAAGTGTATGTATGATATAACCACTCACAGAAAAAATCAAGTGCATATTTTTCCTACTTACTATTCTCGGTAATCTACTCACAAATAGCGAGTCATAAAGAGTGAAATTTGAGGCCTGTTTAGTAATATTTTCCTATGGAAGCTTTAAGGACATTTTTCTTAGCATTAGTAATACTTTCCCATGGAAAGCTTCAAGGAATTATTTCTTAGCTTTAGTAATATTTTTAAGTAAATTTTTCTTAACTTTAGTAATATTGTCCTATGGAAGCTTAAAAAAAAAATCTTAACTTACGAAATATTTTCCTATGGAAAGCTTAAAATAGGGAAGTTTTCTTAATCTCAGTCATCATCTTTCTTTTATGTAAAATCAAAAGTACACAAGTTGCTGTTAATAAAGGAATGTTTATGAGACAATGGATATAGGATTTATTTGCCAATTGATATTTGCTGCAGCCTTGAAATATTATTCTTAGTTTTTCAAACACAAATGTTACAATGAATAAAAAATTAAAGTGTAATTTAACTGGTTGGAACCAGGAAAAGGTTATACAAATTCACTGAAGAAACAAACTTAATTTAAATTTACTCTGCCATTATCCTCTATAAAACGCTATAGCCTGAAGATCTTTTAAAGATGTCTGAACAATATTTTTGAAATAAAAAAATGTTTTTGTCCCTAGATTTCATGTAGGTAATAGATTTCATATGCAATTCAGTCTGAAGTTGGTTTCGATTTCATCCTCACTAAGAAAACATACTTGTACAATTTCGCTTTACAGTGCAACAGACATTTTTTATTGTGTGTAAGTAAATTTACCGACAATGAAAACAGTCATCAGGCTTTTGTGTCAGGAAGTCGCTGTAAAATGTCGTTATCACACCGTCCAAGCTGATGATCATTGAGTATGTGATGGGATACATCCCATATAAAGCTTAGTATTTATTATCTTACACAGCCCTCTTCGCTTGATCTCATATATTATAAATGAATNCCGGAAGTACGTCACGAAAATGGACGCTGATGACGATGTGTGGAGCCACCTTAATAGGTTCTTATGAAATCTTAAGATTACAAGTGTTAGATTAATAACAGGTGAGCGATGCAGGCCCATTGGGCCTCTTGTTTAGAAATATGAGAACTCAAAGGGAATATATATGTGTAAAAGATGTGGATTAATTAGGTTTCCTTACAAGCGTCAGCTGTAGGGAATTTCCCTTTAGCTCAGAGGTAGAGCATTGGGCTAGAGAGCCAAGGGTCGCCGGTTCGAGCCCCAGCGGCGGCACTATCTTTATCACTAATCCTCGTCCTACTACATATGCAAACTTGGCATGCTGTTGCTCTTCCATTTTATGACGAGTTCCACCCTAAGAGTCAGGTAAACGTTTGTTATAAATAACTGGATAAGTGTAATAATTTGTCAAGACACTTCAGAGGTACAACACAAAAATGTACTAATGACACCTGAGCGCTACAATGGATAATAGGATAATGCTGATTCTTAAAGGACGATAACTCTAGTACAAAATTTACATGTTTAAAGGGAGATAATCACAAGTATGATATTTCAGGTAACTTGTATGGTACTGTTGCCTGTTACAGTATGTTTTGACCATCCCCCTAGAGTGTTAATTCAGCTATAATGTTACATAGACTGACGATGTTGCACGATCAAATGTTCTTTGGCTGGCAAAATCAATGTATGTGTTCCAGCTGCTAAATGTATTATTCCATTGTCATTTTAGAGCCTCTTATAAACAGGGATGATTCATGTCAAACGTTGATGGAAATTGCCAAAGGATTTCTGGTTAACCACAGAATACACAATATTTTGCCTCAAAACTTCCATGTTTTGAAATATTTCAAAAGTTTAAATGAAATACACCTGTACCAAAACGAAACCACCTAGAAAATGTCTGTCTGTCTGTCTGTCTGTCCATCCATACTTTCATTTCCTAAGATTATCTGGGAATCTGAAGGACCATTTATCTGTCTGATATTTGACACAGTGATCAGATACACTGAATTGAAAAATTGAAGGTAAAGGTCAAGGTTAATGTACAGTCCTTTTCACAAAATATGATAGTAATTTTTTTTTTTTGACATGGTGATACACTATGATATGTGGCTGTGCAATAGTGCAATAAGGGTTTAGAAAATTACTAAGATCAAGGTCAAGGTCACTTGCTAAGAATAGACCATTGGAGTGAGGAGGGTATGGTCAGGCAGTGACATTCTAGTTTAATATTGTTATATATTTATATAAGGATTGATATGCTTATGTGCTTCATATAATGTTTATGTACTAGGAACTGGCTATTATACCATTGTAAAGGTTAATTTAAAAATAATGTGTTTAAATCCTTAAATGAAAAAAAAGGTGATAATTGTCATAGTGAATCACTGTACAATGTCATTAACGGAGTATGGGTATACATAACACTCCAGAACAAGTAATAAAAACACTGGCGTTTACTGGCACATTGTTTGAGTAGCATTGATGCAATAAATTGTACTTCCAAGACCTTCGAGACTCATTTAAGTGTCTATATATACTTCATAGTAAGTTAGCACACACTCAAGTTCTTCTTTTAGCTTCAAACATAAAATTCATATAACATGCTCGCGTTCTGTATAGAGTTGATGACCAAGTACACCCGTGAGACTTCAACAGTTCAGAAAAATCAAAATGAACTAAATCAACTCTTAATATGTAAATCAGATGTTAAGAAGGTGTCGACGATTCACACCATCTTGTATGTTTGGATGTAAATGTATTTCACATTGTCTAGAGTAATTTGTAAAATGTTAACATTGACGGCTCTCAGATGACCCACAAGTTAGAACATGACCCGATGTACTAGTGATACACAAGGCCTAGAACATCAATGCCTCTCAGATGTCCCACAAGTTAGTTAGTATAGGGCCTTCGGTACCATCAGGTATATATGAGGCCTACAAATAAACTAGCTTTGAACATGCAAAGTACGTAGAATATTGATGCGCTAATTAAGTCAGCCGACAGAGCCATCCGCTCAGAGAAAGACCAGGGTTTGTTGTTTATGGTAGATGTTATTTTTAAAAAGACTTAAAACAGAAATGCTTCATAAATAACATTGATAAGATCACTTGATCATCCAACAACTTTTCTTTGAAAACCCTTCTAGTCCACAATGACAGGGGATTTTTCACTAAATTTAGTCTTGCAAATTAAATCCTTAGTCCTGACTAATAACATAGAATGGTTGAGATCCTAACCCTACAACCATATATATATATTAAATGAGTAATTTCCAGGCATGAAAAGAAGAATACAATCATGCTACCAGGATTGGTGTCCTGGGTCTGGCCCCGCCGATAGGAATTAGTCCCAAGGTCATAGCCCAGGTGCTATATGTTAGTCCCAGGGATTTTATAACGATATGCACATGTATACACATCTCAACCTTTGCTTTGAAATATTCTTGGTCCTAAATAGGATCTGTGTATCAAATTTTGTATAGGGGAAAAGTGTAGCTCCCATTGGTAATGAGGGACGAGGCCCAAAAAGGGGTAATTAAGGCATTAGTCATTAAAAACCTACTTCTTCTGACTGATTGATCATATTTCAACCAAGGTGTGCATTAGAATATTGATTTTCAGAGTATCTAAGCAGTTGATAACAGTATAATAAATCAATTAAAATTAAAAAAATCAGGATACCAATTTTGTCGTAATTAATGCACAATGAGCCTGAAAAATTGGCTCAACTCTTTCACCCCTGAAATTTCATAATGCATTATTCCAACTTTTGAATTGGAAGAGTTCAAATGTGTCTTCAGGGGTTGTGAGTTAATGGGGTACTTATTAAGATAACAAACACTAGTCATGGCAGTTGTTATATTTCTTGAATATTATGTTTTGCAATTTTCATGTTCTCAAAATTTTAGAGATTTGTTTCCTTAGATTTTATTTTATCCTCCTTGTGATCAGTAATTATAATCAGAAAAAAATGTTAA